CATTGTTTCCAACAGGCCTAATCCCATTTCTCCAGTCGCTGAGTCAATTCATCTCATCCTGGGTCTTCCTCTCTCTCTCTCACTCTCCTGCATTGTCCTTCTACCCTTCCAAGCATGATGTCCTTTTCCAAGGATTAGTTCCTCCTGTCCACATGTTCAAAGTATCTGAGACAGAGCTTTAAAATCCTTGCCTCCAAGGAGCAGCCTGATTTCACCCTCTCCAGGACAGACCTGTTTGTTCTCCTAGCAGTCCACAATATGTTCAACACTCTTCTCCAGCACCACAGCTCAAAAACATTGAGCCTTCTTCTATCATCCTTAGTTATTGTCCGGCTCTCAGAAACATAGCAAATAATTGCAAAAACCATGGCCTGTGCCAGGCACCCCTTAGTCTCCAGACTGACATTGTTGCCCTTTAGTACTCTAGACAGGTCCCTGACAGCAGACTTTCTAAATGCAATTAGTCTTTTGATTTCCTGACTGCTGGTGGCAAGAGTGTTGATTATGGAACCAAGCAAGCTAAAGTTATTAACAGTCTCAATCTCTTCTCCATTTATAATGAAGCTGCTAATTGGCTCAATGGTGAGAATCTTTGTTTTCTTGATGTTGAGCTTCAATTCAAGGACTACAGTCCTTGACCTTCAGCAGCAATCACTTCATGTCCTCCTCAGTTTCAGCAAGCAAGATTGTGTCATCTGCAGGTTGTTCATGAGTCTTCCTCCAACCCTCAAGCCACATTCCTCCTCATAAAGTTCAGCTTTCCAAATGATCTGTTCTGCACACAGATTGAAAAGCTACGGTGATAAAATGCATCCCTGATGTACTCTTTTCCTGATTCTGAACCATGCAGTGTTTCCCTGCTCTGTTCTGATTATGGCTTCCTGGTCCAAGGATAAATTCCTCTTGAGCACAATTAAGTGTTCTGGGATCCTTGTTCTTCTTAAGGTTAGCCACAATATGCTTTGATCCACACAGTCAAATGCTATTATTTTCTTAGCAGTCTGTGGGCTAGAATTCCATCCTGGGTTTTGCTGAGCTAAAGTCAAGGTTTAAAGTCAAGGCCCTTGCCCCTTCCTGGAGGCCTGAGGGCACAGTCCTTTTCTTGCCCTTTCCAGCTTCCAGAGCCTACCTGCATTCCTCTTCTGGTGGTTCTCTTCCTGTATCCTCAAAAATAGAAGTTTTAGGCCAAGTCCTTTCAACACTGCTGTTTCTCTCTGGGATCTTTGCAGGCTTAATAGTAAGGGGCTGAGCTGCCAGTGCAAAGTCTGCGGTTTGAATCCACCAGCTGCTCTGTAGGAGAAGGATGGCCAATCTCCTCTCGTGCAATTAGCCATCTCTGAAAACGAGCTGTAGGGTCAGCTCTGGGTTCTCTGGTGGTGCACGCTGCTAACATAAAGGCCACGCCTCCTTGATGATTGAAATCCACCACCAACTTCTCTGCAAGAAGATGAGCAGCCTCTTCCCAAGTGATTTCCAGCCTCAGAAAACCAGCAGATCGTCTAGATGAGTTGGTTCCAACAGCACAGTAAAAAGAAGTGGAGAATCTCTATTTGAATTCCTCCTTCTTTTTGTGATTGCATTATGTTCACTGTGGCATTCCAGAATAATGAACTTACCTTCCGATCCTTTCTTAATAGGTGATTTTGTATGTTATAGCTCGATTCTGACCCTCCGCAGCCATATACAGCAGAAGACTCCCCTCCAGGGTGTCCTGGACGACAGTCTTAACAGGGACAGACTGTCAGATCTTGTCTCCCATGGGATGACGGATGGGTTCAAACCACCAACTTTTCATTTAGCCTCAGAGGACTTAAATGCTGTGCTAACAGGGCTCTGTCTGCAGCCTCAGTTCCTCTCTGTGTGTAACCTAGCATATCCAAGGTAACTGGGGTTAGGACACTAGCATTTTGAAGAGCTAAAATCTCCCTCATCCACACACCTCCTAAAATTGACAGCTCAGCTTTCGCCTTCTTTCAGCCTATAAAGCATGTGTGGTTGAGAGCTCGAGCTCTTGAGTGACCTGTCAAGGTCACTAGATGCCACTGAGTCAACCTAGGCTCAGTGCAATCCCATATATTCCAGGACAGCCTTGTACTCCATGGAGCTGTCAACAGCTGGGATGCTTTTTTGGAAGGAAATCATCAGGGCATCTCTAAGTGGACTTGAACCTCTCACCTTTTTGTTAGCAACCTAGCACCAAAAGAATTTACACCACCCTCAGACTCTGGATCCATATCATTATGCTAGTGACAGGGGTCAGACGATTAGGAGACATATTTCACTGGGAAACTCTGCAGTCAGGGACTTCTCTAAATTATTGAGGAGCTATGATATTAGTTTGGGGATTAAGGTGCACCTGATTCAGGCAATGGTCTTTTCAGTCACTTGCTATGTATTTGAGAGTTGGACAATGAATCAGGATGACAGAAGAAAATTGATGCTTTTGAGTTGTGGTGTTGGAGGAGAGTACTCACGGACTGCCAAAAAATACCCCAAATATATGTCTTGGAAAAGGTGAAGACAGAGTGCTCCTTGGAGGCAAAATAAGACAGAGTTCAGATATGCCATTCATAGGGTGTCTATGAGTTGTACACAACTCAATAACACCTAACAACAACAACAGGACTCTGGAATCAGACTGTTGTGGGGTGCTGTCAAGTTGGAGCCAACCCTGCAGTGGGATTTCAGAGGTAGTAAATTGCATAGGGGAGATTTCCCATCTTTCTCCCATTGAGCAGCTAGTGGATTTGAACCACGTACCTTATGTTTGGCCATGCAGTTCCTTATTGCTAAGCACCAGAGCTCCCTTGGAGTCAGACTACTGGGTTCACATCTTGACTTAACCTTTTTTCCCTGCTGAATATGACCATAAGGTAGTGTGGATAAGAAGAAAAACCTACATTTGAGATTCCTATAAAGATGTTAACTTTAAAAATGGAATGCCTGAAACAAAGACACAAAACCAAACATTTCCCAACTAGGATACTCTTTCTTCTTTCCCTAGACTGTTGGGATGAAGGAAGGGAGAACAGAAAGTGAGGCAGGGAAGTGAGGAGAAAGGACAGGAGGAGGGAGTACAGAGAGGGGGAGAGAAGAGGACAGCCTGTGATTCTGAACTGTGTTCCTGGACAGGGCAGTTAAGTGAGTTCAGTGCTGAGTTCCCGGCAGGCTGCACTGCTGCTTGTGTGTACCGGTAACATCAAGTACTTGCTTTTAAGGAAAATTTATCACTGTTTTATAGCAAATCAAATGTCCTTTAAAGAGAACGCGAAAGGATTTTCCAAATATGGCACTACCAAATCAGTGCCTGAAATAAGTGGGCATCATTGCAGTTGTTTCTATTCAATTTATTTCTTGGGCTGGACTGTTTTGTGCTGCATTTTCCTGTTCTTGTGTGTTTTACATTTCACCTTTGCTCTGCTTCATTCATTTCCTTCAGAGTCAATCCTACATGGGCATTTACTTAAGAAAACAGGGTGTGGAGAATGTTGGGTCAAGGGGAAGGGTGGGATTTATGTTTGTTTAAGTGTGAACAGACACAGGAAAATTCTGTACCAAACAGGAACCCTTGCTAACCTGGACAGGGCAGCCTGCTAATGTCCTCACAGGGCTCAAGCGTGTCTGGAAACTTTCTCAAAGGTAGGAAGTTGGCCCATCTTGGGGGAAGAATCCAGAAGCAAAGTGCACACCAAGAACTAAAAACAATTGTATTAGTTACCTGCTGACTTGATAGACAAAACAGAACCGTGACTATGGTGATATGCGGATGCCCATTCTATGAGTTATATGATACACATACACACATAGATGTGAATATTTGAATACTTAACCATTGAGAGCTGGGCATTATGGGGTAATGTAGAGATAACACTAGCACAGTACTTGCACACTGCAACACTTTCAGTTAATATGAGCCCCTCATCCATTCTTTTTCTTGACTTGAATATAGTGCCTATGTTGTTGTTGCTGCAGCTGTTATGTGTCATTGAGTGAAGTGCAACTCAAAGTCAAGTACAACCCTGTGAACAGATTTGATCCCTGTCCTATCCTGTGCCATCCCCATCATCTCTGACACACTTGAGCCCATTGCTATAGTCACTGTGTCAATCCATCTCACTGAGGGTCTTCCTCTCCCTTGCTGACCCTGCACTTTTCCAAGCTAGAGTACTATGGGCAGCACTTCTGGGTTTTCATTGTAGAGGTCAAGACTGTGGTCTGGATGTTGAAACTCTAAAGTCTATCTTCAATGGCACATTCTTTATTGTCCTGGTAGTATAGTCTGTAAGGAGTTGCGATACTAATTAAAAAGTGGATCCTCTCTGTGGGTTTGAATCCACCAATAGCTCTTCAGGGGCAAGATAGGCAATTTCCTTCCAAGGGATATGCAGCCTTCCAAAAACTTACTGAAGGGTGAGCTATGAGTTGATGTGGAGTCTATGGCAATGTGAGTTTGAGTGTTATTTACAGTGATGATGCGTGCAGTTTTATATTCATCTCTCCTTGAATGATGACGATAATAATAACAATAACAATAATAAACGTTGACTAGCATTTTACTATGTGAAATTTTACTGAGAAGGCATAAATGGGATAATATGGTCAGACTCACACAACTCTTGGAAGAGCTGGGATTTGAACCCAGGAGGTCTGACACCTGAGCTGATCTTCCCTCTAGTGTTGTTTATCCATACACATGTAGCATCCATCTTTACGGTAGGATGGAACAAACAAATAAGGGCTGGGCTACTAACTGTATGATCAGTGGTTCAAACTCAACCAGAAGCACCTCAGAAGAAAAGGTCAACAATCTTCTTACAAAATGACACAGCTCTGGCGCCACAGTTCACTTCTACTCTGAAACCCACGGGGTCTCCGTGAATACATAAACTAAGCAAGAAGAATTGGTTTCCTTTTTCATTTGGGATTGTTTTCTATGGAGTGATGGCAGTTGAGTTCTTTCACTTTAATCTTTCTGACATCTTGTTGTTTCTACTTCCTAGGTGTTTTTCCAGGTCTGACCACCTTGCCCTCCATATGAAGAGACATATCTAAAACCAGAAGGAAGGCTAGAGTTGCCATGGCACCGGCTGTTGTCTGAAAGAAATGCCGTGAGGCAGGGGGCTGGACTTCAGGCGAGGAGAAGATGCCTCGCAGAAGAAAGCCCTCACCTATACACCTCTGTGTACACACACACACACACAACACACACACACTCACACAAAGACACACGCACATTCACACACACTGTCATGCACTCAACTATATTTAAAATATATACATCTATTCTTTATGCCTTGCCCTAGCCAGATGGTAGAAGACGAAGAAGGAAACCGGGTGAACTCAGCAAGGCAGACTGGCTGCTTACTTCAGCACTATTGGAATTATGTCCCGCTGTTGCCAATGGAAAGCAAAGAAAATAGAAGTGACGTCTCTGCGGGTGGACGGCAGTAAGAGGGGTTCATGTAACCCACTTCTCAGTGCAACTTGATGGGAGAACACAACGTCTTAAAGTTGCATATGTGTCGCACTATTAATGTTCGTTTTTAAATAGTTGGGGGAAATGACCTAGAAAACCAAATTGCAGTTTGGTAGCCAAAATGAACGCTTGGTTTATTTGTCCTTTGTGTGTGAAAAAAAAAGACAAAAAACAAAACAAAGTCCTACTATCCTGTGCGTCAGACTCCCTCACAGGACTCTTGATCGGTTTCGGTTCTTCTCAGCACTGTTGAGATCTTTCCACTCAATCCCAGCGGCCTTAGCGGCGGCAGACCCTGGAACACCACCTTACACCTTTCTGGCCTGCATTTCTCTAGACTTCACTCTCCAGGGAGGAGTTTCCTTTTCTTACTTTTTTGACTCTTGCACACCATATGCACTAGGGATTCCGGAAACTTCTAGCATGACTGCAAAGTGGCCAAGAGAATAAAGTCCTTGATGATAAATCACATTATATCCCTTGAGCCTCACCTTATTGCCAGTGCTAGATTTTTTCTTTTTAATCTCTGTTTTTTGCTAATGAAAACTTGAAAAGCTTATTTGGAAGCTTAAACGTTTTATCTTTTCTCCATGGACTAATCCTCTCCAGGACTCTCTCTCTCTCGGCACCTGGATGCCCAGCTCTCGAAGCAGCCAATCAGATGGGACATCGCAGTTCCCTCATCCTCCTTGAGGCCTAATGACCTCAGCTCGTAGTGATCAACCACTGTGTCGTGTGTCATTGCTACCCCAAACCAGTTACAGCATAGATGTCGCTTGTCTCTAAAGGCAGCTGCATATTCAAACTGACTTTGGGTTATGACCTGACAAAAAGCCAAAAACCCCACTCTTTCCAGGAGTGGGGAAAATGGAGGATGCCTCCCAAGTCCAGGGGCTTCACAAAACATCACCCTATCTTCCTCTCTCCTACCCACTAAGCTCATAGAACCCCACTTGTTAGAATCCACATCTCAAAGTGTCATGGTGGGAATGAAGGGCTGGCGTCTGTGGAAAGGGTGGCAGTGTTTCTCCTGCGATGTGGTGAACTGGAGAGGCCTGTGTCTAAATTGTTTGGCTCGGTCCACCATGACTTGTGACTCAGAACACTCAGAATCAACAGAGGCCTCATATTTACCTGGCAAGCTGACTCCAAGGGCGTTGCCATTCCTCACGTTTCATCCCACACTCACCCAACCCGGTATCGGTATCTATCTACCCGCATTCTTCGCTAGCTGGCACTGGCCTCAACTCCAAAGACTGCCTTTAGGACCATTCAATGGCCTATGCAAGCAAGCGGGGTGGTTATTAGGACAGATTGTATATTTTGTATATTCTGGTGACCATCCCTTCAAGAAAAGTCTAGAAAATGAAAGATGGCATTTGGTCCACTCGCGGTTGCTGCTCCTTCATCCCAGCTGGCTTCCTCTCCTGCCCTCCTTTGACTGTTTGACTCATTGACTGTTAAAACACCACCCCATGCATATTAGGGATGCAAAACGGAAGTCTTTAAGAGGAAACCACAATACAAGAAACACAGACCTGTGTTATGACAGCCACCTTCACGATCCTTGGCATTTGGTTTCTCTACTTTCTGCAACCTTTGGTTTCTCTGAAGTGTTGAAATGAACTCGCCTGAGGGTAAAGGAGCCTGTTTGCCATCAATGCTGTAGCTGCCGATGGGACACTTGGGGCATTTTGAGGTCTGGCCCTTTAGAATTTCCTTTCTCGGTTTTCTTTTGTCAGTTTAGACCAAAAAAACCACAAAAATAAACAGGAAAAAAAAATAAAAACACCCCTACAACCAACACCCACCCTAAAATACACACACACATCAAACCTGTCCATTTGCCAGAGGCAATGATGTATATGTTAGTTGGAGGGTATTAAAAGAAAATCAGTTTTATTCCAAAGATTAAAAACTAGAGCTGACTTAGAAATAATTTCTGGAGCACTGCTTGCTGACAATCTTAAAGTTTTTGAGTGCATTTTTCTGGCCAGTCCATCAGGGCGTCCCATGGGATTATATTTTGAATGTGTGGTACATCCTTTCTGGATGAAGGATATGGGAGGGACCTCGAACCTCAGCCGTATTCCACTGTAGCACCTCCAGTCAGTGCACTAGATGAAACTTTAGACCACCTAGATTTTGTTGGTCCCTGCATTTTCCTTTGTGTAGCAGCCTCTAGCATGGATGCACGCACACATCAGTGATGGCCTTAGCCATGACTGGCAAGACTTACAAATGTTCTCTCCCAAGCTGGAGCTGCTCTTGCCTCTCAGAATGCTATTATTAAGGGTTTATAATACTTCATTTAATTTTTTTGAACTGACCAATGCAAGGCTCTATTAAAACAGAAAGGGTGGTTTTTTTGTTTGTTTGTTTGTTCATTTTGTTTTGTTTTAAAGGGGTAGAGGGGGAAGGGGCAATGCAAAAGAGGAATCATTGGCTGTCTGCTCTGTCTTCTCCTCTGGGATCTGGACAAGATCTCATTTGAATGTGGCAGAACAAAGGCCCTTTGGTCTTCTCAGTGTCTGAAATGTTTGGTAACTTCTTTCTCTTTTGTATCAGTGAGGTCTTTTGTAATCTGCCCCTGGCCTTCTTCAGCTCTGGGGGTGGGATGGGGGTGGGGGGGGGCAACCGATGGTGGTGCTTGCTGGCTTTTGAGTCACTTGTTGACTGTGAGACTCGGCCTGAGAATTTGGTGGGTGCTAAGTGAATGGCTTTGAAATGGTTTTTCTCTAGCCTGGACTGACACCTGTGAGTGATAACCAGTCCTAACTAAAGCTCTTCCCTGTTTGGAAAAGGATTTGGGATACAAATGGTGTCATCTCTGAGACAGCAGAAGTTGTGGGTAACAGCCTGCTCTGGAGGGACCAGGGCTTTCCATGAAGAAACCTAAGGACGTTTTGTTCCCTGAAGGACTGGTTATTGGAAACAGTGCTTTCATGGACATCAGAAACCCGAGCCCCTTTCTCGTTTAAGTTGTTACCTCCTAACGTTTCAGGGGATCCGAATTGGAAAGGAACGTCCTGGCACAGTGCTGCCTGTGGTTGTCTTCTCAAGCACGTTTTTACTCCAGGGTTAAGAGTTCCATGTGTCTGAAAAGAATGTTTCTAAGCCATTGACAGTTTTGTTTCTTTCAAGTCCACCCTCCCTTTTTTTTTTTTTTCTCTTACCACATGGCTGTAAGTCAAAGTCGTGGAAACCTGAAATTAAATGCTGCTCGGAGCTACTGGCCTCCTGCCCCACTCACAGTTAATTGGCCCCACTTAATGCCTGGTGGTGATAAGTATTATATCCAGAAAAAGAGATGTTTGGATTCCATGACAAAGCTGCATTTTATGATATATTCGAGACCCCAAAATGGACTTAATCCTGACCATTTTCTGCTCTCCACACTGTCCCTTGCAAAGCCCTTCATCTCTCCTCTCGATGCCCTTCCTTCCCCTCCACCTTCTGTGTCCTTCTTACATCTTTGATTGCCTGATTATAACAGGGTAAAAAAGACAGCCAACCTCATGCATGATTAGCAGAATTGATTCTTATCTTTTAAAAAAATCTTCTTTGAATCTAGAAGGCAAAGAAGATTTCTTGAAGGACTTTAGTTTGGGATGAACTTCCAGATTATCCATGTCTGTTTGTACCGAAGGAGAAATAAGTAAGACTTTCAGGTGATCCATCTAACATCTAAAACACTCTGCCTGTAGCCCCCATTCCTGAATTCTGTGGCAAAGACAAAAGAAATAGCTTTGTTTAAATGACAAGAATAGCAAAGCCTGGCAATTAGTTTTAATGGTTGGTTTAAAATTATTTTCTCTGTGGAAGTCACTTGATAGAAATATAAAGTATAATGGAAAGTACTTTGGTCTTCTGTTTTGCATGAGTTGGTTTTAGGAGAAGGAAAAAGAAGTTAGGAAAAGTTAGAGAGGTGTTGCATCCCATTGTTAACTAGAAAGATTAGGTTTGTCGTTTCTTTCTGTTTTAAATTGTGTGAGGATCAGCGTTTCTGGCCTCAACTTTTGCACCCAGATCTTTGCCAAAGTGAAAAATTCAGTAAGTAGAAGCTGGTTGAAATGTACTTGTGGAAGCTTTCCCCTGCATTTCTTGCAAGTGGCCACCTGCTGAGTGCGGGGTTAGGGCTGAATTCTGGGTGTCTGGATTTAATTTCGGTAAACATGGTGATATCTCAGTTTGAGAACCAGAGGGGCTGGCATGGGTACGCATTGAAGCCTCTTTGATGGCCTATTTTCCTCAGTGAGGATCTTTGGGAATACTTGAGATGGAACAACAAATGTGTCCAAGGAAGCAAAACCACTTGTAAATAATGTGACATCCCATGACTAAACTGCCTGAGGCTTCAGGATTTTCTCTTGTGCTTTTAATGCTTTCTTAAACTCTCCTCTGTTGGTTTCTATGGATCCAGGAAAAGGGGGGACAAGCTGCAATTCAACTTCTTCCGTGCGTCCTTCCAATAATAGTACTGTATTCTTCAGGTGTTTTGCATCTATACCTATAGTCCTCGGGAAACAGGTATTAAAGAGAGAAATCCTAGGCTGTCAATTCACCAGTATCCCAGGCAAGATACTCTTCCAACAGGGCTCCCTCTCCGTGGCAATGAGGGAAGGTTGATATGTTTTTTTGTTGGGGACTGTTCGTACAATTTCTTTTTTCCGATTGTGAGCTTTGGAATCGTAAATTTCTTTGACTCCAGCTTCTGTCTACTGCCATACAATGGACCCCACGTCAGAATAATGAGGGTGGTATGGAGACACACCTAGACATGTGTGCGTCTGTACCGATTGTACCTTCACAGAAGGAAAAAAAGGCTGCTGACGTCGAACAGGAGTAGCCACCAGTGCCTAATATCTATTGGGGGGAATGGATGCGTAGTGTTGCCAGGACATTGAGACCACATTGGGAGTTCCACGTGGAGGAGGAGGGGCAGGGAGGAAGAGGGAGGGCATCCCAGGCCTTTGGATTGGAGGTAGAGTGAGTGATGCCTGCATATTTAGGTGTGAAAGGCTTTGGAGATCATTGGCTGGTTCTCAACATTCTCCCCCCCCCCTTTTCCTTCCCAGCATGCATTTCCTATCCAAACTCAGATTTGGTTTAATTTCCTTATCTTTCACTTCTGCTTCATTCCAAGGAGGAAAAATGCACCTGGTATGGCCAAGATCTCCTTTCTCACATAGAGGCAAAAAGAAATGTTTGATGTTCTTGAAACGTCCTCTTCTCCTCTTCGTTACATAGTCCCCTTCCCTGGGCTCCTGCACATCCTTTGTCACCTCCTCCCACCCCCACCACCCAGCGTCCTCGTCACCACAATTTTTTGTGTGTGTTTTGGTTTTGTTCTGTTTTCAACTCTGTTATCCTCATAACAGTTGCTTGAAGAAATTTAATTTTTTGCACTATACATTTCCTTTTTTTGCCAGATGTGTCTAAAAGTGTGCTTTGGAGAGATCTACTCCCATCCTCCTCCCGCCCCTCCCTCCCCCTGGTCACATTCTCAGGCCTTCTCTGGTATTTATAATATATCACAGAAGTACCCAGTCTTATAGCCCTCGGTTATGCCTTTTTTTGACATTTTATTTTTTTTAAGCTTTTTATATATATATATATAAATATATATAAATATATTACTTTGTCAAGTTTTTTTGCTGTACAAAAGTCTTAAGATTTAAAACTATTATTTGTATTATATGATGGTGGTATGTTAATGTTACAAAATTATTAATGAAGAAAAAAATTTATTTTTGTTACTGGTCTGTTTCATAATTCTTTTTTAAATTGGTATATTGTAAGATATCTATGCAAAAAATGTTATGTGACGCATTTTTATTTAAGAATGTAATATGTGTAATAAACAGTAGAATGTGTTTGGTCTTGGAATGCCTTACTACAATCGCTCCTTAGGGTATCGCACTGTGGGTAGGGGTGGGGAGCAAGCCCAAAGAGTCAACAAATGGGTCCTGATCTACTGGATGAGCATTTTCTTTCTCGGACACCAGGAGGCTAAGGTTGTATTCCATAATCATCTTGGCTTCAGAGGCAGCTGCCTGGCTGTGGGTTGTGTGGTTGTGTATTTTACGGTTTCAGTGAGGTAGTTGACACTGAGTAGAAAGGGTTACTGGAGACGGTTGATTTCTGACAGGGGAGGAAGGGCACAGGTGGGTGATGGTTATGTTAGACTGAGGTGGATTGTGGAATGGCGTTTGCTCAGTGAGTGAGGAAAGGCTCATTGAGAGCAGTGCCTTTGGTGAGAGAAGGTGTCAGCAGGTTCTGGGATGGTGTTAATAGGAGGGTGTTTGGGAAGAATAATTTGAAGCAGGTGGTGGAGGACAGAAGAGGGAGGCAGGTTGGAGGGAATGACTTGGGTGGTGGCTGGAGGTAGTAAATGAGCAGGAGGTGGTTCTAACAGAGCAGGGAGGAACAGCTGATGAGAAACAGAGTAGTGAGTGGCTGTGCATACTACCTCAGAGCTAGAGCGAAGACAAGTGCTCCAGATATGGAGAAAAGAGATAAAAGGTCAATTCTCGAAATGGAAAAGCTCCATTAAACGTCCCTAAAATCTCTTCCACAGGAAACTTCCAGAACAAAACATCCAAGTAAGAAGGAAAGTAGAAAATCCAAAAATGAGTGAGTCCCTGAGAATAGTGGGGTCATTAGCTCAACAATCAGAATTCAAATCCTTTGTCATTGATTTAGAACCAACTCATAGCTGGCATTCCATTGGGTTTCTGGCGCTGTAAATCACGTG